CCCCAAAACCCCAAAACCCCAAAACCCCAAAACCCCAATAGAACGGAGTAGAGTTGGATAATATAAGTAAAACTCTGACCATTTCCATTTCCATTGCCGTTACTAGTGTCTATTCTTCCAAGATTTAACCCTCCGTTAGAGGAGTTGAGATCGGCTTTAAAGCTGTAATCATTACAGGAAGAAGATTGCTGAGGAGGTGTAGTAGAGTTTGAGGGTGAAGATGAAGTTTCAGAGGATGGGTTCGAAGAAGTTTGGTACTGATTTGGGGTATTCTGAGCTTGATATGGATTAACCATCGGCTTTAAAATCTGCTCTAACTCAATTTCCTTTGACTCCTTCGGGACTCCCAAAACCACTTCTGCAGAAAAAGGCATAAAAGCCTCCAAATTCCTCACATCATCCACACTCTTCCCATACCCTGCAAAACACTTCAACTCCATCTTTTCCCCTCCTCTCAGCACAAAATCCCCAGACCTCAACCCCTTCTCCATCACAACACCAATCTCTAGTTCCTCAACTGACCCTTTTTGCCCTACCCTTGTGTCCTTCTTCAGTGTCAAAAACTCAAATCCTGATTTCTCTACTAGCGGAAACTACAGTTTATAAAGAAGTTTACCATTTCGTTGATTTCGAGTACGTCCACTGTGAGTGGAGAGAATTTGAGGAAGAAGCCGAAGTGAGCAGTGGTAAGAGTGGCTTGGGGCGTGGAGAGGAAGCAAGCTAGAGATGTTATAGAAGGGAAATACCAAGACTTAATGAAATCGAAGGGGAAAATGAACTGAATTCCATTGTTTTCAAGTTCAGAGACTTTACACGTAGCGATAGAATATAATAATTTTGGGAGAACTTGTGAGGAATTATGCTGTATTAATGATTAGAACAGTGTATAAGAAACAATGACAATAGCACATCATCACCCCCATAGTCTAAAAAATCCCTTCTTAACCATCCAATCACCCCACAACCCCCTCACCAACACTTACTCTCCTAGCACCTCCCATCTCATATCCTTCGCTACCTCCCCTGGTATCCCTATAACCCTCTCTGCCAGCCCTATCCCCACTACAGCACAAAGCACTGCTACAATCACTCTTGTATTCATTTTAAATATTTTATAATAGGGCAGGGGTTTTGGGGTTTTGGGGTTTTGGGGTTTTGGGGTTTTGGGGTTTTGGGG